TTTGAATATGAAATGTAATTAAATATTGTGAACTACTTTACAGAATAAAAAAAATTAAAAAAAACAAAAAACAAAAAACAAAGCCAGGTCAGCTGCATGCAAAGCAAGAATCCCACTTGTTAAACTAGCTCTCCAGGCCACAAAAGCTAAAAGTTTGATTTTGTAATTAAGTGGCATTTTTGGAGTAAAAAATTACCATTGCAATGACACACAAAAAATTAGATTTTATTATATTAGGTAAGTACTGTGGTGATTTGCCAAGCTTTTAATTTAATAAAGTTATTTCAATCCTTGTATTTGTACTTTATGATTTAGTATACTGTACTATGGGTTGATTGTGTCAACTGAAAAAATAATCATTACTAGGAAAAAAAGAGTTCCTAGATACTATATTAAAAACAGGACTCATGAGGGGCTTTAGCGATAGCACAGTGGGTAGGGTGTTTGCCTTGCACGCAGCCAACATGGCCGACACAGGTTCGATACCCAGCATCCCATATAGTCCCCCAAGCACCGCCAGGAGCAATTCCTGAGCATCGCTGGGTGTGACCCCCCCCCCCCCCAAAAGCAAGATTCATGAAAGAAAAATGTGACTAATTGAATTTCACTTGTCTTGGAAATTTTGATGTTAAAAACAGTAAGAGAATGAAAAGAGGTTGTAAATTAGGAGAGAATCTTTAAAAATCATATGTCTGACAAAGAATTTGTATGTGGAACATATAATACACTCTCAAAATTCAATAATAGGAAAGAACTCATTTAAAAGCAGGCAGAAGTTTTGAAGACACTTCATTAAAAGTAGAAAACAAGTACCTGGGAAGATGCTCACCAGTTTTGGTTATTAGCAAATTAATACCATAAGATATTGCTACTCAACTGTGCAACTGTATATATCTCAAAAAGACTGGAATTTGTTTGTTTTTTGGGTCACATTGGGCAATGCTTAGGGGTTACTCCTGCCTCTGCCCTCAGGAATCACCGCTGGCAAAGCTCAAGGGACTCTGGGTACTCTATGGGACACCAGGGATCAAACCCAGGTTGGCCACACGCAAGGTAAACGCCCTACCTGCTGTACTATCCCTCCGGCCCTGGGATTTTCTTGAATAAACTTCTTTCTGCTTTGTTCACTTCCATCACTCCCAACTCCTACTTGTTTATTTTTGATGGTGGTTGTGGTAGTGATGTGGGGGCCACGCCTGGTGGCAGAGCTCAGGAGTGGTACACAGGATTGAGCCAAGGACGGCTACATGTGAAGAAAGTTGCTAGACCCCTGGACTATCTCTATGGTCCCTTACCCATTGTTTTAGTTTTTTGGGGCAGGGGAAGGATCGCACCAGGCTGTGCTCAGGGCTTACCCCTTGCTCTGCTCTCAGTAGTTATTTTTGGTGGGGCTCAGGGATCAAACTTGGACTTGACTAAGTGGAACGCAAGGGTCCTACCCACAGCATTATCTCTTTGGTCCCTACTAGTTTTCTAAAGATTCATTTTAGGCACTCTAGAACCCAGGAATTCTGTCTGAGATCTCTGCTTCCCCTTCATCTCCACCCCCTCACTCCTCCCACTCCCCTACTTGGATCTGGATTAGGAGTCTTTGCACTGAGTGATGATGGGTCCTCCATCTTGTCTATCAGGTCCGCTCAAACACATAGTACGAGCTTATTTAATATGAATTTCCACACTTTTAAATTGGATATCTATGCAGTCAGACTCCTTCTTTAATTTTTTATCTTCAGAAAATAGCACATTAAAATTTGTTGAGTGGGTGAATAAATTTATGAGTTCTATGCTCCTTCATGAAGCTCGGTTTCTGCTTGGCCTCTGACCTAAAGCCACAGGAAGGTTTTATAGCTCCAAAATAGCCACTGCTATTCCCTAATCATTTGCAGGTGTACTCACCCTGCAAAATTAAAATCATTTTTCTCTCGTCAGAGACCTTGTTCTCTAGGCAACTTGCATAGCTAAACAGATCCTCAGCCTGACCTCTGAGTTATTCCCTTTGAGTTTAGGCATCGCAGTGATTAGTTTGTGGATAGTTTGTGATTAGCTATCTGGATACAATATTAATTGTTCTGGCAATTAATCCTGCAGAGAGACAGTGTTGGAAGTGACTCTGCAGCCACCACATTTGGTTTCTTTGCTACAGCAAAGGCTTTCCCTTCTGCCATTGTAAAGGTCTATTTCTGAAGATGAAGTCCTAGGTCAAAGTCAGCCTTCTCAGCACCTATAAACACTTCCTTGTTTGCTCTTTCTTTATTTGAGTGGGCTCAGGGGGAGTTGGGGCCCATCCTGCATTTTTTTTGACATGAAATAATTTTTAAAAAATTTTTATTGGTGAGACATCATGAGGTACAGTTGCAGACTTACAAATTTTTGTGCTTGGGTTTCAATTATACGATGATCAAATACCCATCCCTCCACCAGTGCCCATTTCCCACCACCACGAATCCCAGTATCCCTCCCACCCCCCATTTCCTCCCATCCCACCATGCTGGCAAAACCCTCCATTCTGCTTTTTCAGGGGCTATTTCTGCCTTGGTGCTTAAGGGTCACTCCAGGCAGTGCTTGGGGGCCATGTGATGCTGGGGAGGAAACCCACACTCCAGCATGTGCTCCAGCCCCTGATGGCTCCTCCCCAGCTGTCTGCTCCTCTTTAGAGTGCTGACCCCAGAAGGGCAGGCAGCCCTTCCCCGTGTCCTGCCAGACACTGAGTTATGTAAGACAGAGTCTCCTGGGTGCGCTGAGATGGTGCTAAAGTGTGACACTTGCATACATATCTCAAGATGCCTTCAACATAGTCTGCCATTACGTAAGATTGCTGTCGTAGGGAGCATTGGGTTCTCACTCATTTTGAACTGTTTCTTTTTTGAAGCTTTGAGGTTTCAATCCAAGGCCCCACAGCTTCGATACATGAACTAGACCACTGAGCCACATTATGGCCCTAGATTATGACTTATTTTTTATTTACAATATAGCATTTGATGTACATTAGGAGCGTGATAAGTATAGCTAATAACTGTATGACTTTAAAACTCAGGTGGGTGTTTTTCTTTCTCAGTCAAATGTGAGTCACTCTAGGATTAGCAGCTAAAATCTGTTAGCTTTAGATTTGAGATCTACTGCAAATGGCACCTTAAAAATTATAACTTTGTAATTCATGGTGATTCAATAAAAAATAAAATGAAAAGTTAAAAAAAGGAATTATGAAGCCCAATTTAGTCTGATTTTATTTTTGCATCTGAAAATAGCATGATGCTACTCAGACTGTAGGACTGTGAGAAATAAACAAGAGAACATAAGAGTGTGGAGAGGAGGCAGGAGGGGGAACGCCGGTCTCACCAGGCACCTGGCATAGACCGAACACCCCTAGGGGTGCTGCACAGAGAGGTAAGTGGGAACTTTCTGTACTTCTGCCTTCACTATCTTTTGTCTTCTGTATGAAAAAAAGGGAAGGGCTCGGGGTTTGGAGAGGATAAAGCATACCTTAGGAATGGTCGCATCAATGACCTTCCTAAGAGAAGTTTATTTGTGAAGTTATCTCCAGGATAAAAACAAGAGAATAAACTCTAAGACCAAATGATGTCTTATCTATGAAAATAATAAGGTGAGCATTCTGGCAAATTAATTAAAGGCAATAGCTATTCTTTATGGTATAGACAATATACCATATTACCAATATACCCTAGTTACAGGAGAGAAAACCAAAAACACCAGACTGGGGGCAGGGTAGGAGGGCGGAGGTGCCTCAGGCCAGGGAGGTGGTGGCATGCACTTTGGGGACAGTGGGGTGAGGAAACTGTACAGCAGGACGAAAACGCCAGCGCCACTGTCGCCTAAGTGATGGCACTTTTTTTTCCGCTTTCTGGGTCACACCCAGCAATGCTCAGGGGTTACTCCTGGCTCTGCACTCAGGAATTACTCTTGGTGGTGCTCAGGGGACCATATAGGATGCTGGGAATCGAACCGAGATCCGCTGCGTGCAAGGCAAATGCCCTACCCGCTGTGCTATCGCTCCAGCCCAATGACGGCGCATTATTTAACACAGAACTTTCTCTGGTAGTCTGGCAACACCACTATGGCACTATGGTAGACAGGGATGCTGGCTCGTGGCAGGACTTTTGGTTTTGTTTAGGTCTTTAGCTGAAATCACCATGGGGTCGGTTGGTGGGTCTTGGAGGTTCTTCCTCGGGCAGAAGGAGGAGCTCCAGCAGGGGCTAGTGCAGGCCGTGCTGCTGGCTCCCTAGCTGGGCTTGGGGCAGTGCTCACCTGAGCATACACCCGGAGGAACGGCAAAGGCCTGGGGCCTGCACTCCTCCGGGGGAATAAAGGGAGGAGCCGGTGAAGCGCGTTCTTCCAGAGAGGCGCAGCTCCCCAGACCGCCCTCACACTTGCTGGGTTTGCACTGCGGGGAAGTTCTGGTGCAATCAAGCAGCTCCCCAGACGCGGACGAGAGGGTCCGCGAGGAGCCGGGATCAGCACCAAGCCTTCGTTCTCAGAGGAAGGTGCTGGTCGGGCTGCAGGAAAGAAGGGAACTTCTCAAGACTCAGAATAGGTCTTCTGCAGGTCCCTTTACCAGCATCAGTTCTTGTCCAGAGTCATCATATCATTTTTTTTTAAAGAGGTTTTCTCTAAGGGATGCTGGGACCGGAACGCGTTGGCAAGAAGCTCCGCGCGGAGCGCAGTCGGGCCCTGGGCTCGGACGGCCGAGAGCACCTGCTGAGGCCGCCGCGCGCGCGCCAGGTGCGCCCCGGCTGGGAGGGCGGCGGGGTCGGCGGCGCCCCCTCTCAGGCCGGCGCAGGTCGGTCCGGGAGCTAGACCGGCCCACCCGGAGGCTGCCAAGGCGCGCGGTCCCCGTGCCGGGATTCGACGCTGCGCGATCTCCCTCGGCGGCGTGGAGCCCCGCGCCCGCGGTCCTCGGGGGGACACGGGCCCGGCCACCTGCGGCCGCCGCGGACACACAAAGGCGCGCGCAGGCCGGCGCGGGGCGGAGCCAGGCTGCGGGGCGGGGCGCGGCGGGTGCGGGACTCGGCGGGCACCCGCGCTCCGAGAGGCGTCGGCGCGGCGCCGACGGGAGGAGCCCCGCGCCGCAGGACGCGCAGCCGGCCGGGCCGCCCAGGTAAGCGCGTCCCCGCGCCCCCGGCCCGCCGCCCCCGGGGGACCCCTCCCCGCGCCCCCGGCCCGCCGCCCTGGGGACCCCTCCCCGCGCCCCCGGCCCGCCGCCCTGGGGACCCCTCCCCGCATCCCCGGCCCGCCGCCTCGCGGGGACCCCTCCCCGCGCTCCCCGCCGGCCTGGCCGGGCGCCTCTCGGGGACCCCGGCCCGCCGCCTCTGGGAGGGACCCGGCCCGCCGCCTCCCCGGGACCCCGGCCCGCCGCCTCTTGGGGACCCGGCCCGCCGCCTCTCGAGCGCGCCGGCAGACAAAGAGCGCGGGCGGGCCGGGGTCCCCGGGGTCCCCGAGCCCGACGCAGTGCCCGGGATGCGCCGTGCGCCGCGCCGCGCCGCGCCGCGCCGCGGCCGGGCGGCCACCTGCGTTCGGGGCAGGGGCGCGCCGCGGGGAGACCGGGCCGGCGGGGCGCGCGCCCTCCAGCCCCGCGTTCCGGAGCGGGTCCCGCCGCCGCTCTCGCCTCCCGGCCGGGCCGCGCCGCGCCGGGCACCTCGGTCCCTCCCCGCGGGATGTGCCCGCGCGTGGGTGCGGCTGCAGCTGGCAGGAGCGCAGGCTGCGGAGGTGCCGCCTCCCGGCTGCGCACCCTGCCCACACTGCGCCGGGCCGGGCTTCTCCCGGCTCCGGGGCTATTGTTTACGCGCTGCAGCTCCGCGCAGCTCCGCCGCCGTCCGCCGAGGGCTGCAGTGGTGCCACCCCGGCCCGGGCCCCCGCCCCGACCCCCGCTCCCGTCCCCTTTGGAGGTTCCCGGGCTGTGCTCCCCGGAGAGGGGTCCAGGCGGCGTGGCCCCCGGACCTGGGCGGCATCCCCCCTCCGGGGCTCGAACGCAGGCAGCTCGGAGGGCGATGCCGCCTGGGAGCGGGCCAGCCGCTTGCACCCGGCGGTGTCCCAGCCTGCCGCCGTGACGCGCTGGGGGTTCGTTTCGGAAGCCTGCTCTCGGCCCGGAAAGGGTTCGAGTCCGCACGCCTGCTCCGTGCCGGTCTGTCTTCGTCGCCGAAGTTGCTGTGGAGGAATCTGCTCCTTCTGTGCTGCCGCCCCCGGAGCGATAGCGGAACCGGCCCGAGGGGCGCGGGCCGACTGGACTTGGGTGGCATTTAATTGATGAACTGTGTTCAGGCTGATTCTGGAATCCCTGGTTTGCGCAGTTAGTTGTCGGCTTTGTGAAATGGCAGTTCTCATTTGCCTGGGGTAGTTAATCCATGGAGACAAATTGCCCAAGTTTGCTCCAGTCCTGGCATTACTGACTTGGGCGGGAGACTGCGTCCTGGGCCACGCGCCTGCCCAGCGGGCAGACTGGAGAGACTGCGGCTGCTGGCACCAGGCTCCAGATCAGGTTCCCTTTACACTTCTGGCATCGTTAAGGTTTTCCTTCTGTGCTCTTTGCCTCAGATATGACTGTGAATGTAGCAGAGTCTAAAAAGTCAGCTGTGCTGTGGAGACAAACCTTTCCCATCTCTTTCCTTGCCTAAAGCTCAATGACTGCGATTCCTTCCAGTTTCAGCGTTGTGCGATCGTGTTAGAGAAGAAAAGTTACTCAGAACTGGGCAGATAGCGCCGAAGGCTAGTGCAGCAGTCCTGGACTCAGTCCCTGGCATTACATGGTGCCTCAGCTCTGCTTGGAGCAACCTCTGAGCACCACTGGTTGTGTCCCCAAAACAAAAACACTAAAGTTACCCAGTGGAGTAAGGCAAATAATTTTAGTCCAGCTACACGAGCAAAGCAGGGATTGGTCATAGAATTTATGGTTTGTGTTAACATCAGTATTATTTTAATCCCAGTGTTACTGGTTTCATTTGGCTGGCAGTGCTGGGGGGGAGGGGTCACTCCTGTGATGCAGGGGGTGCGTGCCCCAGGACGTCCAGCATGCAGAGCCCGTGCTGCAGCCCAGAGACGGATAACAACGGCTTCCTCCTCCGCCTTTGGCAGTTGTGTCTGGCTTACTTTCCCCAATCGAATTCGGTATTGCTCTTATGCTTGCCATCACTTTTGTTTATTTAACAAGTCAGTGAGGTGGCAATCTAAGAGGGAAGAGAAGCGTCTTCACGTGCTTTTGTAGTCACTTCCACAATTTGGGGATAGTTTATGTATTTGATTGTTGACTTATACTTCTTCACACAGTTTTCCATGGTGGAATGCTCATTTTTAAAAAAGTTACATCAAAATAACATCCAGGGTTAACAGTACCAGTCAGGCATAAGGGATGGCTCCGTCTCTTATTCCCTCAGCCTTTCTGTTCAGACTTCTAAGGCAGCACTTAGTATATTGCAGTTATGTGCATTGAGGATGGACCAGAGTCCCCTTGTCTTAGACGTACTATGAGCACCTTAGTGGCACTAATGCTGTTAAACTCATTTCTCATCTTTCCAGCACCTTGTAAGCTGCTCACGACAGGGTATGTTCCTAGGAATGTGGACTGAGTCAATTTCAGGTTATAAAAAATGCCCACTGCTTAGATAGGTAGGCAGGAAGTGGTGAGGAATTTTCCCTCTCATGAGTCAGATGGGCAGGTTACATAAGACTGAAGGGAACCGGTAAGCCAGGACTCAAATCCAGGCTGGCTATTCTGCTGCCTCTGAGCATGAGCTGTACTAGAAAGCAAGTTCAAATGCTGCAGGTCTGGGTTCTTTATTTTTCACTCCAGTGACTTGGATTGGCCAGTTGACAAAATCAATTTTGTTACTACTCTGTTGAGTCATGTGTGACCTTAGAAGGCAATTTGTTCATGACAAGCTTTGTCCTCTAACCAGAAAGTTTGGACACACCCCCACCGGTCTCAGCTCTAACTCTGGTTCTAACACCTGGAACTTCATAGGGTGGTGGATATGTGTAGGTCCAGCTTGTTAACCTGTCGGGGTTGGTTAATGAATGTGAGCATCGGTTGCAAAAATAGTAAAAGGTTTCTGAACTTACAATAGTGGAAAATTAAATCACAATTAACTGTGTGGGCCAAAGAGATAGTAACGGGGGCAAGTCACTTGCCTTGAACATAGCTCGCTCGGTTTGAGCCTACCAGGAGTGATCCCTGAGAAGTCCTGAACACTGCTGAGTGCCCCCCACCCCCCTTCCCCTAAACCCAAATCAACCACATAATGAGTTTTTCACTGGAGTGAAAAATAAAGAACCCAGACCTGCAGCATTTGAACTTGTTTCTGGTGGTGCTCTCCTCTTGATTTTCTGAAGTTAAAAAGGTGAAGTTGAAGTACTGGTTTAGGTAATACCACAGTTTCAAGTCACACGTAACCACCAGAAGCTGCGTTTCCAAACCCGAGCCAGTTTCCAGGAGACAAGCATCTTTTCTGGCCACAAGCCCAGAGGGGTCTCCTGGAGTGAAGGTTTCTGTGCTGATAGGTATGACTCATGGAGAGAACTCTGTCTCTCCCATCACCTGGGTCTTTTCATCCTAGACAGCAGGGCAGGTTGCTGTTAACTAACCAGGACAGGCAGTACCTGGGCGTGTTTGGTTTTGGTCCATATACAGCAGTTCTCAGGGCTTACTCCTGATTCTGCACTCAGGGACCACTCCTGGCCAGACTTGGGGGACCACATAGGGGGCTGGGAGATCAAACGCGGTTTGGCCACATGCAAGGTCAGCGCCCTACCTACTGTGCTACCTCTCCATTCCCTTTGGTACCCTTTCTGTAATGCAGCTCTGGACATGTTTGAAGTTCATGGCCTTTCAAAGAAAATGGTATGGAACGAGCAGTGCGACTTTTAAAAAATCGCTTTTCCTCTTGGAGTTGTAGTTTCTTTCTCTTTCACTGTAGCAGTTGGATCAAATTATACCAAAATTTACTTCTGATCTTTAGCTAATTGAAAGGCTTCTGGGTATTAGTGATAATTCAACAATGGAAATAGAAATAGTTAAAACAATGTGTGTCTGCTATCCTAATAGCTATTTTGGGCTTTCTGTAATGCTATTGTCTATAAATATATATAAAACATTTTTATTTGTAAAACTAGACTTACCGTGCACTGTAGCACTGTCCTCCCATTGTTCATTGATTTGCTTGAGTGGGCACCAGTAATGTCTCCATTGTGAGATTTGTTGGTACTGTTTTTAGCATATCGAATATGTCACGTGTAGCTTGCCAGGCTTTGCCGAGTGGGCGGGTATACTCTCGGTTGCTTGCAGGGCTCTCCGAGAGGGGTGGAGGAATCGAGTGCAAGGCAAATGCCCTACCCACTATGCTATCACTCAGGCTCTAGACTTACCATATTAAAACAAATGCATTTCCATTAGTGGTGATAGTGGTGTAAAAGTACACTTCCAACGCCTGTGCAGCATGAATTTTAGTTTGGTTGACAGAGTCCCAAACAAATCATTTGTATTCTTGCCATTAGTATCACAGCTGAATAATTCTGTAGTCTGAATTCTGTATCCCTGAAATTCAGCCAACGATTTCTATTGCTGTTTATTTTTCTTCTTTTGATTTCTTATTCTTCTCTTGATGTCCCTAGATCCTCGCCCCTCCACCTCCCGCTCCTCCCTCCCATACAAATGCAGAAGATTTCCTTCCTTTTTTCCTTCCGTCATAAATTTCCTTCCTTTTCCTATTTTCTTTATGAGCATTGATGACCAGGTTTTTCCCAGAATATCCTGAAGCAGATTGACTGACGTGCTGATAGCATGTATACACCCCAGAACTTGTATATATGTTCTTGTCACAGACCTTCTGATCACCAGGCAGTTGAATCTTAAAGCTTCCTTAAATAGCTTAGCAAAAAAAGCAGTGTTTAGACATTCAGTATTCCATAGTGCATGAATGTGTGGATATCGATATGTGGTTGTATGCTTTGTAACATGGGCACTGTCGGATGACTAGTGACGGATGACTATAATAGTCAGGATTTTACTGGCCCATTGATTATGATATTACAAAGAACACTAAGCTTTCAGGTCACTGGGGGAAAAATGTGGGTTCCCATAGCAACAAGTGATGTAAGCTGTTGACATGA